CTTTCTTGGGCTCCGGGAGGGCTGACGACACCTCCACCTCTTTGGACTCATTGGGCACTTCTTGCGATTCCCTCTTTATGTCCTCTAAAGGCGATACAAAACACAGAGAATTGAGTACAGAATGAGAGAAATTGTGGACAAGTTGTGGACAAACCCAGAGCCGATTCGCAGGCTTTCCTCACTTGACTGTTGTGTGATTTCTTGATCTCCTTGTCGTTCAATATCTTCTGCAAAGCTCTTGTAATAAACATCTCTTTGTTTTTGTTTAAGTTATTAATCATTATTGCGGTTAAAGTCCATATTATTGTCAACTCTTAACACCAATTCACTAATAAATGGATCATTGGGTGAGTGGTTAAGTGATTGACAATTTGCATCATTTGTATGAAATTCAGTGCAATTGACGTGAAATGTAATATAATTGATAACTAAAGGCAATTGACAAAAGTGATTGACTTTAACAATAAAGTGAGTGAAAAGTGATTAACAGATAATGCATATAAGATGAACATATAATTAATATGTATTAATAGCAACACTTATACAGTAGTTAACAATATTTGACTAAATATTGAAAACATTTCAATCATTTGATGACAACATCACAAACTCATTACATGTGATACTATAGCAGTCGTTCACAAATGACAGGACATCCAGATCGGGGTTGGGCTACAAATCGTATTTCACCAGTTCGTACACTTTTATAGGATATCATCTCATTTATAGCGTTTCGGTAACTGATAATCAGTGACTCAGGTATCCAGGTTATTTTGACATGTTTTAGAAATTGTTATATGATACTAAATAAACATTACTTTTAATCGTATAACAAATATCACGTTTGATATTTGTTTAGCAACTGTTTGCAAACTATCGATGACTGTAATCATTGGTTACTAATCAAAATCCCATACCGTACTTGAAAAATAAAACAAATTGAAATTTTAATTAATAAAAATTAATATTTATTCAATTAATTAACAATTTTTCATTATTTGAATTACAATTTGTTTAAAACTACAAATTTGTTTAATTAATAGAAAATCATAAATAAGAAAACATTTAGTATTAAGTATTAAATGAGAAATAATTTAGCGGATCGGCTATGAGTGAACTTCTGATGGATAGGAATTGAGTGATAGAATGAGTGGTTTAGTCGACCTCTTCGATGGTGGGCCCGCCGCCAGAGCCGCCTCCGGGCGCAGCGCCAGCACCTCCGGGAGGAGCACCGCCCGCGCCGGGGAAGCCGCCCGGAAAGCCTGCGGCACCTCCGGGGGCACCGCCGGCGCTCTGGTAGAGCTTAGTGATGATGGGATTGCACACGCCTTCCATCTCCTTCTGCTTGTGCTCGAACTCCTCCTTCTCTGCCAACTGATTCGTGTCCAACCATTTGATGACATCATTCACTTTGTCGAGAATCTTCTTGCGGTCCTCTTCGGGGATCTTATCCTTGACTTTGT